TGGTCTGCCCGCCTCGGCCTCCCAAAGTGCTGGGATTACAGGCGTGAGCCACTGCGCCTGACTGCCTCACCTTGAATTTTTTAATTGAATTGAACCTTATAAACTAGTCTTCAGAATGACTAAACAGGTTAAATGTTTTAGCATTTAAATGTCAAATAGAGAAATAAAACTGACTTTTGAAAAAAAGAAAGATGTTTAATTTCAAATATATGAACCAAACTTCCAAATTTCTTCCATCAGTAAGAGTAACTAACTGTCTGAACTTAGTTATTATTACTGTGTCAAGTTAAATGATTGTACTTACTTTCCTTTACAGATTTGGATAAGTGAAGACAGTAATAACATTGAAGCAGTGAACCAGTGGAAAGAGACAGTAATAAATCCAGAAAAGGTTGTTATCAAGTGGCACAAATTAAATCCATCTTGAAGACTTCACACATTAATTTGGTGAAGAATTTGACATTCTTTTAGAAGACTTATGATTTCAATTTGCTACCAATGAGAAGAGACAAATCAATAAATTTGTCAATTTATGGGGGCTATAATTACAGTATATATTGTATCTGACAGAAAATTTGATAAGAAAATATAATGAATTTTATCAGATATCCAAAGTAAAGGAAATGTTTTAAAACTGTGCAACAAGACACAGATAGTAAAATCAAAGGATAGTATTAAGATGACTAAATAAATTACAAAGTCTATGAGAATATCAACCACTGATAGTTCTTTCTATATTATGTTTTTGCTTTTGTATTTTAAGCTTTACTTAGATATTCAAAACCTGGTATAGCAAGTCTTTTAGTACTATTGATATTTAGAAGACTTTAACATTACTTCAGTGCTAGACATTATTGATTGGGTCTTGGCTCCACTGTTTACCTCTTGCTATATATTTTCTCCTGGTAAAAATGAATTGAACCATTTCAACTATTTTCTATATTGGGGGAAAGTTTATGCCCTGTGTTTTATAATTTTTTACCCATAAGACATCACATTACCACTTTGTAAGCTACTTATCTCCAAGAAACTTCAGAAATAGAAAACTACATTTTGGCAGGAATAATTGAAAACACCAGAAGGTTGAAGTTTAATTGGAAACCCAGAATATACATACTTTGCTGTTTTCTTCCCTCAAATATTTTACTATTTGTTTTATTTGGAGTAAAAGTAAGAGTATCATCCATATGGTCCATCCTAATTCACAGAATTAAATGAGCTTAAATAGCAAATTCAGTATTTTATGATAATCAGTTCTTCGTTTTTAGTTTTTAAAATTTAGATTATTCTGTAATTTACAATGTTTGAGTATTTTCCCTTTTTTTTTTTTTTTATTTATAACCATACCTGATTATACTGTGTAACAAATAAGTATTTTCTATTGTAGTTTTCTTTCCAGTACTTTAATTAGAACTCAGTATTTGGAAATAATTTCAGTTTAATTGACCATAAGAAGTGTGGCCAAAAGAACAGCTTTTTGAAGGGGCAGATGACATTATACCTGATTTTAGAAAATCTCACTTTATTTTTGCTAATAAGTAGACCAAGTGCTCTGTGTTCTCAGTCTTCCCTTCCCCCCCGCCACATTCTTACTTTGTCACACACATGCAGAGATAGATGGTGATATTTTAGGCCAGAAGTATGCCTTGCTATAACCTAAGCATGCCTTGTTTATTCCAGCTCCTATGTTCTATGTATATCATTAACATTTTCCCAAATAAACATTTAATTCTCCTTTCCCTAGGTGCCATCTCCTCAAGCTACAAAATATCCATATCTTATATCCCCTTTGCTTCTACTGCCCTGATTTTGTGGTACCAGTACTCTCTGCCACTGAACATTTTGAAATACTTTTGTTTTAGATTTGTAAAAAATGACGTATAGGTCAATACTGACATGGACTTTTAAGATAAATCACCTGTGTGATACTATTTTGAATCTGAGACAAATACAAATTTTAAAAATTGTTTTTAAAAATAGACTTTTTTTTAGAGCAGTTGTAGGTTAACAGAAAAATTGAGAGGAAGATAGAGTTTCCTTTCTCCCCCAACAAAGCCCTCAACAGCCTCCCACGCTATCAGTATCCTGCACCACAATGGTACATTGTTAGAATCGGTGAACCTACTCTCAAATATCATTATCATCCAAAGTTCATGGTTTACATTAGGGTTCCCTCTTGGTGTTATACATTCTATAGGTTTTGATAAATGTATGATGATATGTATCCATCATTATAATATAGAGTAGTTTCACTGCCCTATACATCCTCTGCAAATGCAACTATTTTGATGGGTACCAAAGAAGTAAATGTATTACTGGCTTTCAGATAATAAATAACAGGCTTTATTGTTTATTTTAAAAGCTACAATTTGTTTTAGCTGGTTTCTCTGTTCTATTAATGCTTTCAATTTCCAAATTTAATATACGTAGTCATGCATTTAACTCAATATTTAATTATTTTATTTATTTAATTTTCTATATTCCTTTTTTTTTTTTTTTTTGAGATGGAGTCTTGCTCTGTTGCCCAGTCTGGAGTGCAGTGGCGTAATCTCGGCTCACTGCAAGCTCTGCCTTCCAGGTTCATGCCATTCTCCTGCCTCAGCCTCCCAAGTAGCTGGGACTACAGGCACCCGCCACCACGCTGGGCTATTTTTTTGTATTTTTAGTAGAGACGGGGTTTCACCATGGTCTCCATCTCCTGACCTCATGAAGTGCCTGCCTCGGCCTCCCAAAGTGCTGGGATTACAGGCATGAGCCACTGCGCCTGGCCTATATTCTTACAACATATGTATATGTGTAATTTAAGGGAAAGCTATGACTTCTTGGTTTCTTAGAGTCCTAGGTAAATCAAACAGTAAGAAGAAACCTTTTCATTTAAACGACCTTTCAAGTAGAGAAGTATTGATGCAACTAAGATCCTAAATGTTTTAATTAGTGTTTACTTAAGCCTTTTTCAGGTGAGGAGGTACTAACACTGGTTATTTCCTTGAAGCTTTATGTGGATCTGTAAATAGAAATCCTATCTCCTGCTAATAGGTGCACGTATTGTGAGAAAAACATTAGGAGCTGGTAGTAAAAAATGAGATTCTATGCCAAAATAACTTCTCTTCGTATTTGCCTAGGCATTTCTTGACCTTTACCCACTTACAGCAAGGAGAAGGGAATCATAATGATGCCACGTGACCAAAAGAAACCACAGAAGGGTTCTCATTGATAGCTGATAGCTCCCACAGTGCTGATTCGTAACAGTGGATTTACTTGTAAGCTTTCAGATCAACACAAATAGCTGCAGCCCGGGTTAAAATATAACATCTGTATTTGGCTTTTTTTTTGCATGATTTTTAAAAGCAGTGCTTCTATGGAAATGGCCTCTGAAGTATATCAGTTTCATCTCTTACCAAGACTGTTAAAAAGAAACTAGTGGGATTTTGAACAAGTTCTGTAATTGTGGTCTGAAAAGAACCTAAACTGAAGTTCTGTTTAAATATAGTTATATGAATTTCTCTGATACTAATGTACTCAACAACCAGGTGGAAATTATATCTCCTAGTAACATTTTTTATTTTTGTTTAATCAAATATTTGCTTATAAAGGATTTCAGAAATTTGTAATAAATGTCAGCTTTTGATATCATGGCAGTAATCGACATTTCAAAAATATATATTTCCTTTCTGTGGTTGGTTGGGTGTAATGGGGAAAGTACCTGATAAAATGTCAGAGGGCACTTTCTAATGTCTTGGTACATAAGCTATAATTTTTATTCAAAATTAAATTTCAAATGTTTGCAGTTTTGGCTAAAACATTGAGTTGAAAGAATTATGAAAAGTGGGCCCATATGAAGTACCATGTTCATTTTGAAATATAGATTTAAGATTTAGAAATATATTAAAAGAGTTAATGGAACCTCCTAAATTGGATTTTATTTTGTGGGTGAAGAATTGTAGGAAGATGAATGTGGCCTGCGTTTTTAGTAATCTCCTAGTGGATTTTTTTTAACTTAGTACTTTTTTATTTTTAAGTTTTTTAATCTATAAAAAATGTGATTCCTATAAACAATGATTACAATAAATCATTATATTAAACTGTAGGACTCTGATAATGGCAGTAGATGTCTAGAAAGAAAGTTCCGGGCTGGGCACAGTGGCTCTCGCCTATAATCCCAGCACTTTGGGAGGCCGAGGTGGGCAGATCACAAGGTCAGGAAATCGAGATCATCCTGGCTAACATGGTGAAACCCTGTCTCTACTAAAAATTAGCCAGGCGTGGTGGCGGGCGCCTGTAGTCCCAGCTACTCGGGAGGCTGATGCAGGAGAATGGTGTGAACCCGGGAGGCGGAGCTTGCAGTGAGCTGAGATCGTGCCACTGCACCCCCAGCCTGGGGGACAGAGCGAGACTCTTATCCGAAAAAAAAGAAAGAACGGTTTGTATGTCTTTTCAAAGGATAGAAAGCTATCTGATTCTATGCCAAACTAAACCACCAAATGAGAATATGAATTTTAAATGGTGATGATGTTTATTCAGTATTGATTTTCATATTCTGTGCTGTGGGATTTGGTTCTGGGTCACTTTCTTTTTTTTTTTTTTTTTTTTTTGAGACGGAGTCTCACTCTGTCGCCCAGGCTGGAGTGCAGTGGCACGATCTTGGCTCACTGCAACCTCCGCTCCCAGGTTAAAGCAATTCTCATGCCTCAGTCTCCTGAGTAGCTGGGATTACAGGCACTCACCACCATGCCTGGCTAATTTTTTCTTTTTTTTCCTTTTTTTTTTTTTTTTAGTAGAGACAGGATTTTGCCATGTTTGTCAGGCTGGCCTTGAACTCTTCACCTCAGGTGATCCACCTGCCTCGGCCTCCCAAAGTGCTTGGATTGCAGGCGTGAGCCACTGCTCTGCCTTTAGTTTCTGAGGCAGTAGGATGATAAAAATGTCTGCCCTTCATGATAGGATACTTATTTTAGCAGAAATAAATTTGGTTGACTGTGGTTTAAAATTGTCTTTTAATTTCTGCGTCTTTCGTCTTTCTTGATTATATAATCTATGAAGTCAATCTTGAAACCACATTTTTTAATGAGCCATTTTATGTGATATATTTAATAATGCAAAAAAATCTAGTACTTCACACAAAGAACCATGCTTTGTGCTTTCAGGGATACAAGAATGAATAAGCCGTCATTGTTTACACTGAGATTTTATATTTAGGTAGGTACATGAAACAATATAAAGCAAGATTCTAGGAGAAAGCAGGATTGAAGGTGTGAACAAAATGTTTTAGAGGCTCAAATAAAGAATTTAATGCACCTGAAGGTATTAGGAAAGGTTTGGTAGGTCCCTGACCTGAAACACACAAAACCAAGCACTGCTGTTCATGATCACTAACTCTGCCTCCCTAGCCATCTTACTTCATTTGTGTTGTCAGCTGACTCACCGTGAAAAAGTATATACTTTCTTTCACTCTCTTCTAACCTTTAGCCCACCTGCTGCTTTCTTTGCTCTTAGTAGAAGATCTTATGTCATGATTCGCAAAGAAAATAATGTCGGGTTTTCCTCCAACTTCCTACCACCATATCCACAAACCTGTTTTTACCCATATCCATCCTTTTCCCCCATTATGTTAGAAAGCCAGTGCTTCCTCGTGACTTCTGAATCCAGTCCTTTCTGCTTTCTCTGGGATTTCATTCCATTTGTTATGCCCATTCTCCCCTATTTTTGAGCCATTCCCACTCACTCTACTGGATTCTTTGTTTCATCTTTGAAACCTCTGGTGTGTGGCTGTCTCATATTGGTTGGTGATGTGTTTGATGCAAAGAACCCTACAGATACAGTTTTGGGGGTTAGGTTTTTGTGTTGATGAAGGAACCTATGTAAACTTCAAAGGACTGAATGTTTATGTCCCCCCAAAATTCGTATGTTGAAATGCTAACCCCCAAGATGATAGTATTAGGAGGTGGGACCTTTGGGAAAAGATTAAGTCATTAAGGCATTAGTAATTAGGCTGTTAAGGGATTAGTGCCCTTATAAAAAAGACCCAAAGAAAACCCTCGCCCCTTCTACCGGCTAAGGTTACAGTGAACAGATGACTTTCTATGAGGAAGCAAGCCTTTACCCAAAACCAAATCTGCCGGCATCTTGATATTAGACTTCCCAACATCCAGAACTGTGAGGAATAAATGTTCATTGTAAGCTACCCAGTTCATGGTATTTTGTTATATCAGCCTGAATAGACTAAGAAACATTACATAAAGCAGGAGCCAATGCAGCATGCTCCCCTTAGAGGTGTGTCTTCCCAGGTTCCCAAAGCTTTTCCTGGGTCGGACCGCTATGGGTGAGTCTACGCATAGCCAGTGAAGATTCTCCTGGGCACCAGAAGCTCTTTTTCATTGTCACAGGAGTTTCTTTCCTCACTTTCCTTCTTCCACCTGACTATTCCCAAGCATAGCCTTCATGTCTGCTTGCTCAACAAGTGTTAGTAACTGGTAGTCTACAATCCCAACAAATTCTTGAGTAATTATTGGAATTTAAGTATAACTAACTCAATGAATAGGAAGGTTGGTTTCTCAGCATAGCATCCGTTAGGTCACCTTTCTCTGTGGTTTCTTCTTAAAAAATATTCCTAGACCTCCTCTCCTGTTCTAGATTCTGCCTTATCTGTTCTCCCCTTTATAGATAATTTTTTTTTTCTTTTTTTTTTTTTTTTTTTTTTGAGACCGAGTCTGGCTCTGTCGCCCAGGCTGGAGTGCAGTGGCGCGATCTCTGCTCACTGCAAGCTCCGCCACCTGCCGGGTTCACGCCATTCTCCTGCCTCAGCCTCCCTAGAAGCTGGGACTACAGGCGCCCGCCAGCACGCCCGGCTAATTTTTTTGTATTTTTAGTAGAGACGGGGCTTCACCGTGTTCGCCAGGATGGTCTCGATCTCCTGACCTTGTGATCCACCCACCTCGGCCTCCCAAAGTGCTGGGATTACAGGCGTGGGCCACCACGCCCGGCCTATAGATAATTTCTAACCGCTCTGTCCTTAATCCATTCTCTTCAATCTTCCATCCTAACCACTCCACCAGAGTTCATGTTAAAGTCTTAATAAATGCTTTTCAGCTATTTTTTCCCTTTATTCTCATCAACTTTATTAACAATAGCTTTCTGTCTCTCTCTCTCTATCTATCTGCCTCTCTCCTTGAAACCATCTCTCCCTCTGACTTTCATGTCATTATGCTCTGCTTATTTTTTTAAACACCTTCCTAGTCTATTCTTTTCTTTCTTCTCTGTTTGGCTCATCTTCATGCACTTGACTTTAAAAAGTAGAAGGTCTTTAGGACTCAGTCCTAGGCCATCTTTTCTTGTCATTCCACACTGTTGTCCTGGGCAACCTCATTTGTTTCCATGACTTGAAATGCTATCTACTGTCTAAAGGCTGTCAAATTTACATCTCTACCCAAATCTTGCTGTGAGTTCCACTGTCATATAGCTAATGTGGACATCTTTTCTTGAATGTGTTCTAAGTCAAACTTTTGATTTCCCGTTCCTACCACAAGTGTGATCTTCACTTTTCCCCATCTGAGTAAAAGGCACTATCATTCACCTAGCTGGTCTTCCCAGAAAACCTATTCATTGAGTTAATTACACTTAAATTCTAATAATTATTTAGGAATTTGTTGGAATCATTTTCTACCAGTTACTAACACATGTAAATGGAAAAACTATTTCTCTTTCTGTATTCTGGATGTGCAGGGGGAAGAATTAAAAGAAGAAAAACTGTTTCTCTATTCTTACAATACTTCTGACACTAAGTGTGTGGGCTTTTCCCACCAAGCAATTCTTTAATTCCCTGTGGACACCAACTGGGTGTTGTGTAATTTACCTTAATTCCAACACTACCCAGAATTAGCACAGATCCCACAGGTTAAAGTCTCAGTTCCACAGACTGCCCCCCACTTCCTATGCCAATCGTAAGTAGCAGGTCTCCAGGCTACCCACAACTTTGGTCTGACTTGACTACAAATTGGAGGTTCTCATGACACTTCAGGTTTGGTAATTTGCTAAAATTGCTCACAGAACTCAGGGAAACAGTTTATGTACGTGTCAGTTTTTTATAAAGGATTCAAGTCAGGAACAGCCAAATGGAAGAGATGCATGGGCAAGCCAGCGGGGAGGGATGTGGAACTTCCCTGCCCGCTCGGGGAGTGCCACCTTGCAGGCTCTTCGATGTGTTTATCAACAATAAGCCCTCTGGACTTCATTTAGGATTTTTATGAAGACGTCATTACATAGACATGGTTGATTAAATAATTAGCCATTGGTGGAACTCAATCTCTACCTACTCTCTCTTCCCTAGAGGCTGAGGGGGCTTGGGAGATGGACCTGAACATTCCAACCCTCTAACTATATTTTTGTTTTCCTGGCAACAAGACCCCTATTCTTAGCGGCTTTCCAAAAGTCACCTCATTAACATAAACTGGGATGTGGTTGAAAGGGGCTTGTTAGGAATGACACAAGATGCTACTTTAAACTTCATTACTCTGGAGCTATTTCAGGAGCCAGGGACAAAAACCAAATATGAGAAAAGATACCTCATCACACTTACTGCTTAGGAAATTCCAAGCATCTTAGGTGTGTTGATGGTACAGTGGTGAGCATAGCTGCCTTCTAAGGGTTTTAGGAGCTCTGTGCCAGGAGTCAACGAC